GTCCGGGAGGCATCGGCTCGAGGTTGGCGACCCGCAGCGCGAGCGGCTTGGGCTCGCCGTCCACCCGCACGCCGACGCGGCTCTTCTTCGCATCGTACGACAGCACGAGCCCGCGCCTGCTGTTGAGGTCGGGCCGACCCACCAGCGAGTGCAAGAGCACGTACGCCCCAGGAGCCGGCACGGGCGCCTCTGCACCGGCACCGCCCCCGCTCCCGCTCCCGCTCCCGCCACAAACGGCATCGGGCTCGGCCAGGGCCTCCGAGGAGGAGGCGGCGGCGGCGGGAACCGCGGCGGGCTCCGGCGCAGGCGGCGGCGGCGGCTGCTCCGCCCCGCCGCCCCTCTTCTTCTTGCCCTTTTTGGCCGCCTTGCGCCTCGCGCTCCGCGCCGACGCCTCCTCCTCCTCGGCGAGCAGCGAGGCGGCGACGGCCTCGGCAGTCACCTCGGCGTCGGTCGGCCGGCGGCACGTGATCGTCGGCTGCGCCGGCCAGCCGTCCTTGCCGTCCGACGCGTTCCACACCTGCCTCGACTGGTCGGGCGACACGCACCCCGCGTCGAAGAGCTCGAGCCATCCGTCTGCGCGGCCGAGGTTGACTCGCTCCTGCGCTAGCCACGCGACGCCGTCAAAGGCGAGGTAGCGGTCCTCGTGCGTCGCGTGCTTCCAAACTGGCCTCGCGTTGACTTGCTTGTGAATCCCCGCCGCGCCGCCGCCCGCGCCGCCTCCGCCCACAGCCGGGCTCGGCGGAGGCGACTCGTGCACGAGGTTGTACCACCCGAGGCAGGCGGCCGCCTACGGCGAGCCGCAGAAAGGGTCGGGGAGGCGAGGGCCGGAAGTGGTGTGCGCGAGAGCAGGCCCGCTCCTCCGGGTGAAGCTTGCGGCCGCCCTCGAGCAAGAGAGCAGGCGGCGGGGTGAGAGCCTCGTCCAGCTCCGCGTCGGTGCGCGAAAAGCAGCGGATCGAAGGCTGCGCGGACCACGCCCGCCCGTCCCACACGCGCCACGCCTGCCTCGACCCTGGCGGGGTGAAGCACGAGACGCATGGCAGGTGAAGCCACCCCTTGGCGTCGCCCACGTTCGCCTTGCCCTGGCACCACCAGCTCGACTCGCTGAACGAGATCCACCTAAGTGACCGGGCCCATTCGTGAAGAACTAACGGCTCATTCATCATCAGCTCGACTCGCTGAGCGAGACCCACCGGTCCTCATGCACCGCGTGCACCCACACCGGCCGCTCCGCCCTGTCCGCACCCACACTCGAGCGGCTGATGCTGCCGCCGCCGTCGCCGCCGCCACTCCCGCCGCCGCCGCCGCCGCTGCTGCCGCCACCACTCTCGCTGCCGCCGCCGCCGCTGCTGCCGCCGCTGCCGCCGCCGCCGCTGCTGCCGCCGCTGCCGCCGCCGCTGCTGCTGCCGCCGCTGCCGCCGCTGCCGCCGCTGCCGCCGCTGCTGCCATTACCGCCGCCGCAGCTGGTACCGCCGCCGCCACCGCCGCCGTCGCTGCCGCCGCAGCTGTCGCGAGGTTCGCCCTCGGAGGAGGCTGGGTCGGCGGGGGCCGGCTTGGGGGGGGCGGGGCTGGAGGAGAGGCGGTACCAGCCGAGGCACGCAGCGGCCGTGTCGAGCTCGAGCGTCGAAGAACACTGCAGCAGCAGCGCGGGAGGAGGGACGCGCGCGCGGCGGAGCGACTCGTCGCTGTGCGCCTCGCAGCGCAGCGTCGGCTGGTCGTCCCACCGCTTACCGTCCCACGCCTGGTACAGTCATTGACAATCAATCAATCACTCGCGTGCTCCTCCTCTCGCCCACCGCCGCGCCGCCGAACCTTCCAGCGCTGCCGCGACGCATCGGGGGAGACGCAAGAGCCGTCGATCAGCTGCAGCATCCCCTTGGACTGGCCGAGGCACCTAGACGAGAGAGGCGTCCGCACGATGAGCGGGGAGGCTGCGAGGAGCACGCTCCGTGGACAGGCCGACGCACTCAGTCAGCTGGCAGAGCCAGCGCGAGCCGTCAAACGCAAGCCACCGGTCCGCGTGGACAGCGTGCCGCCACACCGGCCTCCCGGACACGCGCCGCTCCGTCAGCGTGTACCAGCCGAGGTCCGACGCCGCGGGCGAGGCGAGCGTCTCGCTGCAGTCGAGCAGCAGCGCCGGCTGCGGCTCCAGCGCCGCGGCGAGCTCCTCCGCCGTCGCCGCGGAGCAGGTGAGCAGTGGCTGCGAGAGCCAGACACGCCCGTCCCACATCTTCCACACCTGCGCGAGGGCGGGCGGGCTCGGGAGACCTCCCTGGGTGCCGTCTCTCGGCAGACTCCCATGTTCCGGCAGAGTCCCGTCTCTCGGCAGAGTCCCATCTCTGCCGGAGTCTTTATCGCCCGCGCACCTGCGCAGAGACGGGCGGCGAGGGAGACGAGAGGCAAGGAAGCTGCAGCCAGCCGACCGAGGCGCCGAGGTTGCGCTTTTCCTGCGCCCACCAGCCCGAGTCCGAGCACGAGATCCACCGGTCCTCGTGCACCGCGTGCACCCACACCGGGCACTGCGCGAGCCGCGGCAGCTTGTCGCTCGCCTCGGGAGGGAGGTCGGCCCACTCGCACAGCCGCTTGTCGGAGAGGCGGTACCAGCCGAGGCAGTCGACGGAGACGTCGAGCGGCAGCGGGCGGGCGCTCTTAAGGTGCAGCGCCTCTGGCGGCTCCATCGCCGCCGCGAGCTCCTCGGCAGTCTTGGCCGTGCAAGTGAGCGTCGGCTGCACCGTCCACCCGGTGGCAGAGTGCTCGCGCGGTGACTTCCAGGGCATCAGGCTGCGGTCGGGCGAGCCGCACTTTGGGTCGCTGAGCTGCAGCATCCCTCGCGCCTGCCCCAGGCAGTCGGTAGTCTGGCAGAGCCACGCCTCGCCGTCAAAGGCGAGCCAGCGGTCCGCATGCACTGCGTGCCGCCAAACCGGGCGGCTAGCTACCTTCCGCTCGTCAAGGGTGTACCAGCCGAGGCTGGACAGCGCGGAGGACGTCAGCCGCTCGCCGCCCTCGACCAGAAGAGCGGAGGGTGGTCTGGGCATATGGCCTGCGGCTGTCGACGCCTCTCCGTGTCCGGGTGTGAAGACAAGAAACCCGTTCGTAGTCTAGCATTACAAAAGACTTTCTGCAACAGTGCAGTGAGGAGTTCAGGCCTGGGCCCGCAACTCTCCGGCGCAGGCCGCGAAAACCGAGTCAATAAATAAAACGCACCCCACAAACGAGACGAGTGCCACCGCATTTTCTTTTCTTCTCGGCAAGGGGCCGCTGCCTTTTGCACTCGGAAATTCTTCTCGGCAATGCACTCACTGGCGCCTCTTGTGGCGCGACACCGCTCCGACAGAGCAGCGCGCTTAAACGCACCGAGAGCATACCGTGTAGGTCCGAGACCTCTACCGCCGCATCATCACGGTGGGCGCCGACTATCCAGCCGGTTTGCCGTACGTTCGCGAGCGCGCAAAGCGAGAGTTTGCGAAGCGGCGACACCTGACGGACGAGGTGGAGATCAAACGCGCGATCAATCTGGGCCGCTTTATGGTGAAAGAGGTGCGGAGCGGCGCAGAGAGGGCGAGGAGAGGCGGGAAGTGGCGGGGCGGGAAGTTTGCAGAGAGGGTGAGGATAGGTGGAAGATGGCGGGACGGGAGGGCAGTCAGGGCAGGGCACTCATACCCCACCCCTCCCCGCCCTCTACTCGCGCAGATGGTGGGCGTCATACGACTGAAGAAGTACCGCGTGCTGAAACAAAGATATGTCGACGCCGAGCCGCCGGAACCAGCAACGCCTCTGCCACCAGATCAGCGTGAACCCGCGTAGCTTTGTTTTGACACACACACATTGAAAGAAGAACAAGCGATTGTCTATGCGCGGGAAGCAGTGGAAGAGTGTGCGAAAGGCTACTCGCAGTTCGCACGTCGCAGCGCCCGGCGCCGCCGCACGGCGCCCCTCAGCGCGCGCACATGCGCGCGTGTCGGTCGTCTAAAATGACTAATTGAGGTGTCGTCTCCCGGTCGCGGTGTCCAGACGTGTGGCGCGCGGGCGCGCTTGCACGCGTCTCCGCGCACCGAATCTCGCTTCAGCTATATGAAGTGATCGCTCTCCTCCTGGTCTAAGATTCTGCGCGCGGTGTCCTCTCTCCTCTCAGTCTCTCTCTCTCTCTCTCTCTCTCTCTCTCTCTCACTCACTCTCTCTCTCTCTCTCTCTCCCCCTCTCTCTCTCTCTCCTGGATACCTACGACGATGCGCGGAACGATGGCGCCGGACACGGCAGCGCTTCGGGCGGCAGAGACGGGCAGTGGCTCTCGACAAAGGCGTGGCAGGCGTGGGACACGTGTACCAAGGCGTACTCGACGCAGAGGTAGCCGTCGCACACGCCCCAGCCGTTCCGCTCCTTGTGGAAGATGTAGAAGCCCGCCGCGTTTGCAGTGTCAAAGAACTCGCGCAACTGGTTGGGGAAGCCGCGGATCCGCTTCCGCTCGGCGCGGTCCCCGCGCTCTTCAGACTTCGTGATTGACACTGGCGCGTGCAGCTCCACCTGAATCTGGCCCACCGTGAGGTTGCCGGCGCGCAAGTCGCCAAAGACGCGCGTCAACGCATCCCATTCGCACCCCTCGCAGTCCACCTTGAGCAGATCAATGTGCCTCCCCGTATGACCGAGTTTCGCCTGGATCTGGCCCAGGGTGAGTGCGTTTTCCGACGTCGACTCCCCGCCGCGCAAGGCGAGCGCATGTATCTTCGAGTACGCGCCGCCGCCGTACGGCTGGATCTCGTCCGGCGCAGGGTCGAAGGTGTGCATCTCACAGTTGGGCGCCGCCGCTTTGAGTCCCTGCTCGAAGCCCCAGTCGCCGCCGCTGCCTATCGAGTGAAGTGCCGAGGAGTTTGCCGGCACTGGCGAGGGCGGGAGCACACTCGTGGCAACCACACACAACCGACGCTATACACCAGGCAGTCCTTCCGATTGCCCAGGACAGCAGGGCCACAGACAAACTTTGGCCCATCGCCGAAAGGAAGGTGTTCGGGTGGCACCCCGGCTCGTTTGATCCTGGCCCCGTCACCAGTCCCCACCCTCTCCTCGCTCTCGCATGCCTGGGGGGCAGATGCCACGGCTGAAGCATGCCTTGGGCACCCAAGCATGTTCAGTGCAGCGGCCAGCGCGCCGCGCCCCACGCGCGTATAAAATCAAAATGGGTCGTACATGCACATGCACATGCACATCATGCACATGCACATGCACATGCACATGCACATGCACATGCACATGCACATGCACACATGCACATGCGATGTACTGTGTAAAAGATGGATCTTACTACAAGACGAAAGTCAAATTTACAGGTACCCAAGTACTCACCACTCAACAGCAGAGCACATGTCCTCGCGTGTTGTCTCGCACGCCTCGTCTCACACCTCATCTAGATCTGCCACTGGTGCATGAACCAAAGGTGTCTCTAGTCTCACACATCTCGTGTGCGTCTCGCGTCTTGTCTTGTGCATCTCGTCTCGTTTTGTGTGTGTGTGGTTGCAGGCCTTCAAGCTCGGCTGTGGGCATTACACCCTACTGCAATCTGGTTCCTTCAGTTGCTGCACGGCGAACACGTGCACGCTTCAGCTGGTCCTTCAACGTGTCATCACTGCCTCCGACTTCACTCAGGAGCCGCTTGCGTGCGCCGCACACCTGGGAATCCTTCGGGGGCGCCGGCGTTTCACCGGATTCGTGCGCACGCTTTGGCATCGCACCTGCTACTCGGTGTAGTGCAGGCACGAGGGCTCGTAGTGGCGCGTCCACTCGCCAAAGAGCTGGCCCTTCTTAAACTTCTCCGCGACGCGAGCGGCGGGGACGGGGCGCTCGTGGACAATGTCGGAGCGCATGATGTACTTGGTGCCCTTCTGCGGCGCCTCACCCTCATGCTGCACCATGTGGTCGTTAACGAGTGCCATGCCAGTCACTGGCTTGATGGCGAGGTCCGCCTCGGTGAAATCGACATCGCGAATGAAGCGGCAGTGGCCCTTGCTGTCGGTGGTCGCATACTGGGTCCAGAACTTGGTCCGCCCATCGGCAAACTCGTCGTTCAGGTAGATGAGCACCGTCAGAAAGGTCATCTGCTCATAGTGCTCGCCCGTCGCCGGGTCAACCCGGAAGCGCGACATGCGATAGTCGTCGTGCTTCAGCACAAATTGTCCCGGGTCGTATTTGTAGAAGCGCAGGTGCGGGTTGCACCCGACGGCACTGTACTCGTCGCCTCGCGTGGCCTGGTTGGGCATGTATGGCACGGGCTTGATCCCGTGCAGGTCGGCCGGCACAGCCGTCTTGACGCGATCCCAGAGCAGATTGGCGAGCTTCTGATTGTCGACGACACGGAACTGCGAGGTGCGGGCGCCAGTCGTTGCCACCTGTCCATGCCCGCCACCCGACTTGGCGGACGGCTTGAAGCCCGCATCCTCCGCCTCGGCGATGAGAGCAGCACACTCCTCGGTTGTGAAAGCACCAGGTAGAGTCAAGATGCGCCCAGGCGCATGAGTGACGACGCCGACCATGTTGGACGCGCGGGTGAAGTCTGACGGGTCCAGGACAGGTTCTGTCGCGACCGAAGGAAGGAAGAGCTCGGCTGACAACTCGGCTTTCACCGCATCCGATTCATGTTGGCTTTGTTCGCGGCCGTGTCCAACGAAGGATCAAGGGCTCGCTGGGACCCATTGGCTGCCGTTCTGAACTCGGGGTGGAGTTTGTACGTGTTCGTACTGTTGTCTGTGTCGCCCTGTGTAGCAGAGGGAGAGTGAAGAGTGTCTATCTCCTGGAGCACAGAGCGTCCCCAGTGGCAGTGCACCAGTCCCTCACGCCCTCGTCTCTCAACGGTGCGGCTCCAGAGAGGAGGTCTCGTCTACGAGTGTCAATTTTAGTATGCTGATACAATGGATGGAAAGGAGAGCCTAGCGCAGTATTGCAGTGCGCATGATCATGTCCGGGACGCTGTGACACACTTCTCTTTCTCACACATTACACACGCTGGTCCGAGCTTCGCTTGCTCGGCCTCCACGCCGCACTCGTCGAACAGCGCTCTTGCAGAAGCGTGGTGTGCAACGCAGGAGTGCAGACACACCACCACCACACGCGCCGCGGGAGGAGCCGCTAGAGCCCCTTGTTGTACTCGACGAACTCGATCGGCCTCCTCTGCTTATCCTTCAGGCCCTGGAACTGCTCCTCGAGCGCCGAGACGGCCACCGTGTCGCGCTGCGGCCACACAGCCATCGCGAGCGGGACAAAGAGCCAGATGCAGGCGAAGGTGACGCCTATCCACAGCGGTTTGCAGGTGAGAAGAGACGCCGCTCACAGCGGGACGACGAGCCCTGGCGCAGGCGAAGGTGGCGCCGAGGTCGACGGCCATCGCGCCCGTCGGGCTGGCGGAGATGGCAGAAGGGAGCGCGGAGAGGGCGCCTCCCGACAGCACGGGCGTCACCGTGAGCAGCAGGAACGTCCAGAGGATGCGCGCCTGAGAGAAGGGCCCGAGCGCGGAGGTCTTTGGGGCTGGTCCTCTCTGCGTCGAGAGGAGCGGGACGTCTGTGGCCCCCGCAGTGCCTAGTACGGCGCGCGCACACCTCGGAGCACTTTGTGAGCGCGAGGACTCCCGCCGCCTTGGAGATGCCGAGCTCCATCCCGTCGGTGGAGTACACAGGTACTCCGTCCAGCTCCGCCCTCCTGCAGCCGGCGGGAGAGGGGGAAAGGGGGGGGGGGGGGGGGGGGTCGGCAGTCGCGCCTCGAGCCTCCTCCGCACGACGGGCGTCGCCTCGTGAGGACGAGGTTGAGGACGGCGCTCAGAGCAACGCCCAACATCGGCACCGTCAGCCGGACGATGCCGCCGCCCGCCCGCTTGCCGAGGGCCGTCCCGCCGACGCCGATGGCGAGAGCGGCGCCGGTGGCGGCGACGTAGGCGGTGGCGAGCGACTGGATGTCGCCCTCGCCGGAGGAGCGGTTGCACCAGTTGACGCCCGCGTTGTACGACTGGTTGAGCCACTGGAAGAAGGCCGCCTACGCCTCGCGCCGTGGACGCGTCGATGAAGCGCCCTTGTGACATGGCGGCAGCCGACCGCCAGAAGACGCAAGCCGACGCGAGCGACGCGTCCGGCCGCAGCAGGCCGGCGCAGATGACGAGGTTGGCGTACCTGCGGGGGCGGCGCGGACGGACGTGAGGGGCAGAGGCGGCAGGCGCGCCTCTGACGGCCACGCGGAAGCCAACGGGAGCGGCGCACGCGAAGAACGAGAAGCGGAAAGGCGCAGGCACCATCTCGCCCGTCTCGCCGCGCGTGGTGGCCGTCACGACCTTGTCGGCTCGCCAGAGCTCGGCGTCGGTCGCACCGGTCTTCTCGCCCTTTGCGTGCCTTCTGAGCAAGTCACGGTGCGCCTCCAGCTCGGCGGCGCTCGTCCACAGCGTGGTGGGGTCGCCCAGCACATTCAGAAAGTGCAGCGCTCGGCCGCCATACGTGGACATGTCGAACCGCGACGCGCCGCTCCCGAACGGCGGAGGGTTCGTCAGCTGCTCCATCAGAGGCCGCGGTCCTGTAGACGGCGACTTGTCGACGCCAACCGCGTCGCAGCTCTCTGAAATGCGGCGAGCATCCGCGCCGAGGCACTCGGTCTGAGAGGCGGCGAGACCAGCCGCGGCGCAGCCGGCGCCGAGCCTAGCCGCGCGAGAGAGAGCGAATGCACGCAGCGCCCGTCCCGTCAGAGAGAGCGACATGTCGGCTGCTGCCGCTCTCGCCTCGCTGCCGCAATCGTCCGTCCGCGTCCGGGCAAAAAAATAAATTCGCGCGTGTAGAGTGCTCCAAGAAATTAGGCCAGTGCTCTTTTTTAAGTGAACTCGGTCGGGGGACACAGGACGCGGCAGGCACGCACGGGGCACAAACGCCAGGCTGCTACAGAGTGAGTCAGGCAAGAGACAGGGAGGCACGTAGTAAGGACCTCGCACGTCACTGATTTGCGCGCACGCCATCACAGAGGAGGACCACAAACGGCGGTTGCTGGTGCAGATCGCCGACATGGCGCAGGCCCTCCCCGTCAAGTTCAAGAACCTATGCAACCGCACGGTCGGCGTGTGGCAGGACCGGTCGGGCGACAGGGAGTCGATGCATCAGCTGAAGCCGGGCGCGACGTACGCCATAAACACGCGGCCGGGCCTGCGCTTCTGCGTCGCGCTAGACGAGGGCGGCGGCGGGGGTGCTGGCTGCGAGCGACCGCTCGCCGTCTTCACCATCACGCAGGGCCGCTACCTCTACGCCTACGATCCCCGCGAGAAGGACGAGGCCACAGAGCTCCCAGAGCCGGAGGAGCCGGTGGGCGCCGCGGACGCGTCGGTGCTAGCGGCCTGGCTTGAGGAGAGGCGGCAGGCTGCCGCCTACTTTGAGACAACGGGCCGGCACTGGATGGCGCATCCAGGGCGGGTATCGCCACAGCTGCCCATGCGGGCGGCGGAGCGAGTCGGCGACGAGCTCGAGGTGCGCACGTCGGAGACGCCTTCGCGCTCACTGCAGCTCACGGTGGTGTCCACCGCGCCGCGGGTCTTTGTCGTCAAGAACTTTCTGTCGGCGGAGGAGGCGAGCAAGCTCATCGAGCTGGGCCGCGACCGCATCGAGCGCTCATCGCAGCGTGGGCGCGTCTCGTCGTCGCGCACCTCGAGCAACGCGTGGCTCTCGCGAGGCTCTGCGCCGGTCACCGAGGCGCCCCGGCGGGGGCGCGGCAGCGGGGGAGGGGGGCAAGGGCACACACGCACACCTTTTGTGCCGCAGGTGCTCTTTCGGCGCGCGGCCGACGTGCTCGGCATCGACGAGGCGCGCATCTCCGACGACAGCAGCAGCTCCGGCCTCTGCGAGCCGATCCAGCTCGTGCACTATGCTCCGGGACAAAAGTACGACGCGTCCACCGCCGAGAGGGCGCGCTGATGACACGTCCGTGACCTGCCCATGGCGGGTCTCAGGTACGATGCGCACTACGACTGGAGCGAAGCGGAGCCCAACTCGCGCTTCGCCACGCTGCTGCTCTACCTCAACGAGCCCGAGCTGGGCGGTAGCACCGCGTTCCCCACCACCGTGCACACGATGGAGGAGCCCCTCGCGCTACATCCCGGCGCGGGCGGCGCTGTACTCTTCTACAACCATCTCCCCGACGGCAACGCGGACGTCAACTCGCTGCACGCTGCGCTGCCGGTGGTGCGAGGAGAGAAGTGGCTCGCCAACTTTTGGGTGTGGGACCCCGTCCGCGGCCAGGTCGCGTGAGCTCTGTGGTTTGGTTATCCCCCCTGGCCACATGAGTCTATCCCGCGGCCGCGCGCTCTCGATCCGCGCGCGCGGTCCACGTCTGTTGCGGGCCAGTCTCTCAATGCACAATAGCTTAGCCGGGGTGCGCGTTCGTTCACACTTTTCACGCCGAAATATGTATGTAACACTAGTGAGAGGACTCAACTTTGGTGGGGAGAGCCGGTGTGTGTGGCCGTGGACGGCAAATCGTGGAGTTGCGAGTCACGCTCGGGCGGACAGCATCGATGCCGTCGCCGCGTCGCCGGACGCGGCGGCGAGGCACACGGGCGCCGGCGTGGCGCGTCGGCAGGCCCACCACGAGCGGATGCGCGACGAGCGCGCTCGGGAAGCGGCCGCGGGCGACGCGGAGCTTCCGCCGGAGGACGACGCGGTCGAGATGGCGAGCGCCGCCCACGTGCTGGACAGCGTGGCGGACGTGGGCCCGATAAAGCCGCTACCAATGAAAATCCCGGCGCCGTCGCGCCCACAGTACTCGCTCCCTCTCGCTCCACCGCCGCCGGCGAGCACAGACCCGCAGCCCGGGGCCACGCGGCCGGGCGCCACGGTGATGGCGGCCTCACGGCCGTTCATCGATCCCGACGAGGACATCGCGGCCCTCCTTGAGCGGGCGCACGTTTCTGCGCCCGTCTCCGACAAGGTGGTGCCGCAGCTGCTGGCCCAGGATGTCGGCAACGTCGCAGCGCTGCTCGAGGCGGTCGCCGAGGACGGCCTCGAGGGGCTCGGCCTCGGCAAGGTCGTGCAACGTCAGCTGTGCCGCTGCCTGCCGGCCCTGGGAAGCTGCGACGCGGCTGCGACAGCTTTGTCATCCTTTGCCTCCCTGTCTCCGGTCGGGCCCCCGCTTGGGGCTGCGGCTGGCGGGCAGGCGGGCAGCAGGGCGATGGCCGGCGGCGATGGTGCTGCTGGCGAGCGCTGGCGGCGGCGGCGGTACGGACGCGGCCGAGGGTGCCGCGCATGCCGCAGACGGGCATGCGACTGCCGCAGCCGGGCTAAGCGGCCCCCGCGGCGGAGATGGGACGCGCTCCGCTAGCGAGGAGCACGACGGCGGGGCGGCGGCTGGCGGCGAGGGCCGCGGCGGCGCGCGGCCCCAAAGAGGCGGACAGCGGCGCCTGCAGTGCTTCGGATTCTACATACAGCGGCGCGGACGCGGAGGAGGCGGTGGCAGGAGGGGGCTCTGGGGCGGCGGAGGCGAGCGCGGCGGCCACGGCCGAGGAGGACAAGCGCGTCCGGGCGCTGAGGATGGCCCTGCAGCACAAGACGCAGATGCCCGTGACGGACGAGGAGGCCCGGGCTATCCTCCAGGCGCGAGGGGGTCGCGAGATGCCAGTGACGGAGGAGGAGTCGCGGGCCATCTTTCGGGCGCGGGGGCACGTCGGGCGCAGCAGGGCTTCCTTTCAGGCGCGGGCGCGCGGGCGGCGCGGCGGGCGCGCCACGGCATCGCCGGCGCTGGCGAGCAAGGGCGGCGAGAAGCTGTCGCGGCGTGGGAAGAAGGCGGTGGCGAAGGAGGCGGGCGAGGTGGCATCACGCGAGGAAGGCGAGGCGATTTATCGCGCGACGCTCGAGTCGCTGTTGGCGTCCACCGGGTGGACACCGGACGTGAATACGACGAAGGCGACGACGCTTTCGACGCGCTCTACGACGGGGGCTCGGGGTACGGGTGGGATTCCTCTTCGGGGGGCGGCGCCTTCTTCTAGGCGCCCTTGACCCAACATAGAGGTAGCCTAGCTTTTGGTTGTAATAAAATCCTCATCCACACACATGCATGCATGCACACACGCGCGGCATTCCGCACAGCCTCTCGGCGTCGCCCGACTTGCCGGCCCGCGAGGCACGGACGAGAGCACGTGTGTGGGGTCGACGGTCGTCTCGGAAGCTGCTCCCCTCATGGGCCAAGTGGCACCAATGCCTACTTTCCCCCCCCTCTCGGCTTCAAGATTGATGTCAATCAACACAACCCCGGGCGGGCCCAAGACGCATAAGTAAGAGAGCTTCGAAGGGAGAGACAGCAATGCCTTCAACTCCGAAAAAAAGACGAGGTGGAAAATAAAAAAAGAAAAATCCCAACTCGATACGGGAGTTCCTATCCCCGGCTCTACCGGCTGATCGCGGCCACCCGCTTCCACAGCTGCTTGCCGTCGGGGTGCGGTCGTAGAGCCCGAGACCAGCTGCAGAGGAGCCGAGTGCCGGACAATCAGCACACAACAAGCGTTCCGATGCTCAACTCCACTGCCGTGATCACCAACGAGACGGCGCCCTTGCTCAACGACACTTGCGAGGATGGGCTCCTCCTTGCCGGACCGCTCCGCACGCACCGCAACGCCCTGATCTACATGGCGGCGTTGCTCTGGACGTTCCTCGGCGTCGCGATCGCAGCCGACGCCTTTATGCTTGGCATCGAAACGATCACGTCGCAGGAGCAGGCAAAGACCGTGGTCGTCGACGGGAGGAAGCGCGTCTACTCCCTCAAAATCTGGAATGCCACCGTCGCCAACCTCACCCTCATGGCTCTCGGCTCGAGCGCGCCAGAGATCCTCCTCTCGCTCATCGAGATTGTCTCTTCGGGCTTCTACTCGGGAGAGCTCGGACCCTCGACCATCGTCGGCTCTGCCGCCTTCAACCTCTTCATCATCGCCGCTGTATGCGTCGTCGCCGTCGCGGCACCAAAAAAGGTGGCAGACACGGGCGTTTTCTCCATCACCGCCGCCGCCTCGGTGTTTGCATATGTGTGGCTCGCCTACATCCTCCTCGTCTCGTCGCCAAACGTCATCGAGGTGTGGGAGGGTGCCGCCACGCTCGCCTTCTTCCCGCTCCTCGTCTGGCTCTCGCATAGATGCGGAATACGTGTCCCGCCTCCCACCCTCTCCGCCCAGCTGCGCACTATGTATAGGCGCTCCCTCGCCGACGTCGAACCCTTCTCGGACCCTTCTCGGGCCCTCTTCTAAGGTCCCCTCGGGCCCTCCCACAGGCTCGCCTACCTCGCCGACGTCGGGGCCTTCTCGTGCCCCGACAAGGCGCGGCCGGCGACGCACGTGGTGGTCGCCTTCACCCGCGACGGAAAGCCGATCAGGCACCGCAGCTTCGCGCGCGAAGCTGCAACGCAATGGGCGTCTCTCTCCCGAGCCCTGTCGGAGTCCTCTCGCACAGGCGCGGCGACTTGGCGCGCGAGCTGCAGCGCATGGATCCCGACGCGGCAGACGGGACGAGCGACGCGCAGGGCCTCGCCTCGTACCTCGCCTCCTCGCTAGGCACCCTCAGGTCTGAGAAGCACGCTTGAGAGGGATGAGAGTGGTGGTGATACTCGCTCGTTCGGCACCCTCCGGCCACCAGGTCCATCTCAAAACCCCCCAGCTACTCTGCCATGTGCGTGACATGTCCGTGCCACGCCCTCTCAGGTCGCGGGCCGCGTACCGGGTCGCCACGACGCGAGGGGCGACGGGAGTGGCAGCGCCGCAGGCGAGGGCGGCAGCGGAACAGGAGGTCGCACCGCCGCCGTCGGCGGCAGTCCTGTCGTTTGCGGTTAGCGGTGCGGCCTTCTCTGAGGGTGCCAAGGAGGCGAGCCTTGTGGTGGAGCGGTCCGGGGAGGAGCTCGCGAGGGTCTCGTCGAGCGGACTAGCTGGTCAGTGCTGATCGAGCCACTGCCTCTCATTGGCTCGCCAATAGGAGCTCGACTGGGAGGGGAGCGTCGAGTACGAGTCTCGGGACGGCACCGCGCACGCGGGCCAAGACTACACCGCCGTGTCTGGCCGCCTCTGCTTCGCGCGCGGGCAGCGTTCGGCCGTCCTCGCGGTGCCTCCCTCTCTTCGACGGCAGCCCTTCCCACGACCTTGTCCACCTTCTCCAGAGCCCTCTCTGCACCCGTCCAGGTGCCTCTGCTCGACGACGAGGTGGCGGAGGAGGACGAAACCTTCTTTGTCGACTTGGCGCCGCCCGCCACCCCTCCCCCTCCCCGCCTGCCTCTCGCCCTCCCCCTCCCCGCCTGCCTCTCGCCCTCCCCCTCCCCGCCTGCCTCTCGCCCTCCCCCTCACCTCCTCGAGATCACTTCGCCCTCCCCCCGGTGCTCCCGCCGTGCAGCACCGCCCCTCCGCCGGCGCACGGCTAGGGCGGCGGAGCACGATGGCGGTGACCATCATCGACGACGACGGCCCGGGCGAGGTCACCTTCGCCGTCGCGGAGACGCGGGTGCGCGAGTCGCAGCGCGTGGCGGTGCTCGAGGTCGAGCGCAAGCGCGGCGTGCAGGGCGCCGTCTCCGTCGGCTGGCGCACCGCCGACGGCACCGCCCTCGCCTCGCGCGACTACGTCCCCGGCCGCGGGCGGCTCACCTTCGCGCCGGGCGTGACGCGCGCCGCGATCGAGGTGGAGATCATCGACGACGGCGCTTACGACCTCGCCGACGAGAGCTTCGCCGTCGTCCTCGACGAGCCGGGCGGCGGCGCCTCGCTCGGCGAGATCGGCCGCGCGGTGCGGTCGATTGTCGAGGGAGCGACCGCCTTCTCTGAGCCGCCTCTGCACTCCTCCGAACCTCTCCCTGCTCTAGGTGGTTGTCATCGAGAGCGACGACGAGCGGCGCGCGCTCGTCAAGCAGGTCGCCAGCCTCATGTCCCTCAACGTGGACGCGATGCAGCTCGCCGGCGCTTCGTGGCGCGAGCAGCTCGCAGAGGCCGTCACCTTCGAGCCGCCCCGCCAGGCCACCACCGCGCGCGCCCTCGACGGACCCCTCCTCGGCGGCGCCTCTCCGCCCGCCGCCTTGTCGCTCAGCTGCCCGTTCGCGTTTGCCGGCTTCGCGCTGGCCTTGCCGTGGCGCCTCCTCTTCGCGCTCACCCCTCCTCCGCGCGTGGCCGGCGGCTGGGCTTGTTTCTTCGTCGCGCTGGTCGGCATCGGAGTCATCACCGCGCTGGTCGGCGACCTCGCCGCGCACATGGGTTGCTGCCTCGGCATGAAGCCCGCCGTCACCGCCATCACCTTTGTCGCGCTCGGCACCTCCCTCCCCGACACCTTCGCATCGCGCACCGCCGCCGTCAAGGAGAGAGTCGGCGCCTGCTCGACCTGAGTGTCCGTCTCGCCCATATGCCCTCGCGCCCCTGTAGGAGCGGCACGCGGACTCGTCGATCGGCAACATCACCGGCTCCAACTCGGTCAACGTCTTCCTCGGCCTCGGCCTGCCGTGGCTGGCGGCGGCGCTCTTCTGGGCCTCACCGCGAGGCGCCGCGCAGGAGGCGAGCTGGCGCGACCGCTACCGCGGCGAGGCGTGGTACTCGGAGGCGATGCCCGTCGCCTTTGTAGTGGCCAGCGGCGACCTCGGCTTCTCGGTCGCCGTCTTCACCGTGCTCGCCCTCGTCTGCCTCGCCGTGCTCGTGGCGCGCCGCGCTACCGTCGGAGGAGAGCTGGGCGGCGGGGCGGCCTCCAAGTACTCGACCGCCACCCTCTTCACGGCACTCTGGCTGGGGTACATCTGGCTCTCAATCGCAAAGACCGAGGGCGACCCGCGGCTCGCGCGCCTGCTGCAGCAGCTGCCGCCGCAGGCGCGGGCGCTGCTCGGCGCGTGAGGAGGGGTGCGGGAGAGGGCAGGCGCGCACGGGCGGGGGCCGAGTCTCCCGGGAGGCGGGAGGCACACACTCCACACTAGAGCGTGAGGCACGTTAGGAGGTGTGGTTTAGTAGTTCGTCGCGGGAGTATTTTGTTGTGCACTATGCACTGTATACGTTACTGTGAGTATTGTTTATTGATATTGTGCGCTCATGTGAGAGAGATTTTAGAAAACTCATCTGCCGGTGTAGTACACACGTATGTCAGCCGTGGCCCGTGGTGCACGGTATCCGACCTTCCACGCCAAAGCGGCGGGAGAAGAAAGAAAGAAAGGCGCGGCCACAACCCAAGAGCTGGCTGTCACCTGCAATATATCTTGGAGCACTTGGAGTGCAGTCAGTAACCTCACATCCAGGGCCGGGGAGCTGAGGAGCGCACCCAGCGGGCCGGATGATCGGTATCGGGCTACGGGCTAGAGAGCCCTGACCCCTAGCTAGGGGGGGTGCGCATTCGCAGGGCCATAACACGTCTCCGAGGGATGGTTCTGCGCTGCCGGGTACTTGGGGGTTCCCCTTAGCTGCGGAACGCACCCTCTTCCTCGACCGTGGGGGGGTGCGCGGTCGCAGGGCCATAACACGGGTCTCCGAGGGTTAGCTCTGCGCTCCGGGTTTCCCCCAGCGGCGGAATTTTTCCCTCGCGCTGTGGGTCCCCCTAGCTGCGGAACGCCCCCTCTACTCGGAGCTAAAGAATACTCTCCGAGGGTTAGCCCCGCGTACCAGGTTTCCCCTTAACTGCAGGACGAGATCTGGGCATCTCGCAGGTGTTTTTCTTCGGCCGCCCAACTCTGTCGGCGTCCCCTCGCGAGTTCACGTATGGCCGCTGTGCGGTCGCCTCGTGCCACGCCTGGCACCAAGCCGCCAACGCCGAGCGGCGGCGGCTGGTTCGACGTGGGCGGCAAGGAGCGTATTGAGCTGGCTTCGCGCAACGAGGCCCTCGGCGAGGAGGTGCGGCTCAAGGAGGCGCAGCTCCGGATGCTCCGGGTCCTGCAAAAGACATCCGCGCGAGAGGGACGCATTGACCGCTGGCGGCTGCAGACGACGGCGCCGGTCTTCTCCGCCTGGCGACGCGCGGTCACCGCGTGGCGCGCCGAGCGGCAGCTCGAGGCGGAGCGGGCCGCGAGGGCGGCAGCCGTGTCGGCGGCCGAGGAGAAGGGAGGGCAGGTGGGGGCACTCGCCGACCGCGTGGCCCGCGTAAAGAGCAACGCGCAGGCCAAGCTCTCCGAGCTCTCCGCCGCCAACCAGCTGCTCGCCAAGGCGCTGCGAGGACCGCAGCCGCCAGCAGAGGCGGTCCCGCGCCCGACGGCCCGCGCCCGCCCGCCGCGCCTCTGCAGGCGCTCGAGGAGAAGGACAAGGCGGCCGTCTCGCTGGAGGCGCGGGTGAAGCACCTGCAGCGCACCGCCGGCGCGCAGGGCGAGCGCGAGGTCGAGCTCTCCCTGAAGCTCGAGCAGCAGGCCGACGCACTTGCGCAGGGAGAGAGGGAGAGGCAGCGGCTCGAGGCCGCGGCCGCAGCGGCGCGGAGAGAGAGCGACGCGCAGAGGGAGGCCGGGTCGGCGGCGGTGGCCAACGAGGCGGCGGCGGCGATGGCGCTGCGGACCACGCTGGGCGCGCTGCGTGCCGCCGACTCGGAGCTCCAAGTCGCGAGAGGCGAGTGGCTGAGCAGGCAGAGGCGGCTGCTGGTGCGGCGCACGGCGCCTCTTCACGGCAGACGGGCTGTGAACAGGCGAGCTCGCCGCGGAGAGAGGGCTGAGTGTGCGGCTCGCGGCGCGCCGCGGAGGCGAGAGCCGAGGGGCCCGGCGCGTGGTCTCTGAGAGCGCGCCGGTGTGGTTTGTCCCGTAGGCTCGCGTGGAGGGGCTGGAGGCGGAGGGCGCCAGTCTCGAGGCGGAGGCGCCGAACCTTCCCGGAACCTTCTCGGAGCCTTGCTGCAGGCGGAGGCGGCGTGTCTCAAGGCGGAGGCGGCGGCGGCGCGCACACTCGCCGTGATCGACGAGGGCCCGCGCAGTGCGACTCCGCGGCGCATGCCGGCCTCGCGGCAGGCGGCGCGCGGGCAGGCGGGGTCGGCTGGGAGAGGGACGGCACGCAGCATGTCGCTGGGGGGGGCGGCGTCGGGCGGGAGGGGGGAGGGGAGGGGGGAGGCGACCGGCCCCTCCCCGCCCCTCTCGCCGAGGGGCGGCACTTTGGCTGCGCACACGCCCCTCGGCGGTTGCGGCGGAGGGTGGGGCTTGGGCGACAGCTGGCGGAGCGGGCGAGACCGCCGCCGCGAGACGCGCACTTCTTTGACACACTCTGAAGGAGGAGGCGTGTGTGCGCGAGGAGTAGGCAGACGCTGCTCGAGCTCCACCTCGACAAGTGGCAGCGGGCGCTGCTCGCGACGTGCGTCCCGCGTGTGTGCACCGGTCCCGTCCACGGACACGTCCATGACGCGTCCACGGCACGTCCCCGCAGGTGCTTCTGGGGGTGGGCGGACCGCGTGGGGTGGCGGAAGCAGCTCGAGGCGCGGCGGGAGAGCGCGCGGAGGGTGCCCCCCCCCCCGACCCTTCTCTGGCCGGCGTGTGCTCCTCAGGCGGAGCGAGAGCCCGTCGCCGACGCCGAGGCGCGCGTGGAGGCGGTCTGGAGACCGCGCGAGGAGCGGCAGGTGGCGCACGTGGCGGCGCTCGCCGCGTCGCTGAGGGAGAGCGAGGCGGGGGCGGCAGAGCTGTCTGCGCACGCGAGTGAGCTTGCCGAGCGGCTGAGGGTCGAGACGGAGGCGCGGGAGAGCCTGGCGTCGCAGCTGTCTGCGACGGCGGCGGTGCGCACCCCTGTGGTGTGTGTGTGTGTGTG